ACTAAAATTACTTTTAGTAGCAGGAAGGAGCTCTCCTTGTAAAAGAGTTATATGTAGACTTCACTGCAATTTAGCATCTAAAGTTATATCTGAAAATATACTGTATCTGCACAATACCGGGCAAGACTAAAATTACTTTTAGTAGCAGGAAGCTCTCCTTGTGAAAGAGTTCGTCCAAGGTAGTACTGCCGCTTTGCAGTAATGTCAACATTACTGTGTCCCGGTTTTGAGAGGTAAGGGTGCTGGTGAAATTACAGGCACATGGGACTTGTTAACGTATGTCTCAGGGTGACAAGCGCAGTGGTAGTGCCTCTCAGATCTTTACAATTTAAAGCTCTGAATGGCACTGTAACTGTTATGGACAAGCGTGTAGCTTACCGTTAATATGGTATGAGGATTAATATAAACAAGGATTTATATACAGTTTTTAGAGTGAGTCCTACAAGCCGCGCTTTTTGTAGAATACCATACCGCTAGTACAACATTCATCGTAACAACCTTTGGGATTTTGTCATCGGTCTGACTACATCACCAATATTTTAACAATAAAACACCAATAAACAAATACAAGAACAACTTTGCGCAAGTTTTCCACGCCCTAAGCAAGTACTCACCTGTTAGTCGAAGCCTAAAACGTTTATTTTCATACATAATCAATTCGTAAACTTTTTATCCTCCACAAGAGCCAACTCATGAATTAATCAAAACTTTTTGAATCTTTACAAGTAGTTATATTCGCACAATCCGATCGTTGTTAAACGTTAAACGAAAACGGACTCGGCGCAATTCGATAGGTGCAGACATTGAAATAACTAAAACATTATTCCTGTTTTATGTAAATTAATTCTACCTCTAAATACGGCCTGTAGGCTACTTTATTTGTTCAGGTTTTTGTACAATTAACAAAAAGCTACGGGTATGACCCAAGGTGGTTTCCTTTGGGGAGACCACTTATGAGCAATGGGACACTTAATGAACTAAATATACACTATACATTTTACTAAAGCAATGTTATGATATATATAAGTGGCCAATAGGCAAACAACGAAGAATACTTAGAAATTGCATTTAAGAAAAAATATAAAAATAATAATGCCTTAAGGCAATACTTTCTAAAGCATTCAACGTTAACAAAGTATTTGCTTATCAAAGGCTCAGCGCCTATTTAACGATTTTCCCCTCGACCATTTTTATTGACCTTAGCAGGAAACGAGAAGCTTATTTATAACAAGAGACAGCCATATTAATGGCAATAGAAAACCTATGGAAAAAGATGTTTGCGCAGGTAATAAATAGGTCACGACATAATTCTAAAAAGCGTTATAGAAGAGTAGATTGAAGAAAAGAGAGGCAGGGGAAGACCTAGACGAAGTTATTTAGAACGGACGACAGAAACAATTAAAATTGTGTCGTATCAGAAACTCACAGATACGGCGCTGAACAAAGATGGGTGGTTACTCTTAAATAAGAAGAAAAAGCCTTGCTCATAGGTACTCTCAAAGAAACAAGACAAAGAAATTGAAGTTAATTATCGAACAAATTTGAAGAACACTTAAGGTTTACAGTTTTAAACTGCCTTCGTGGCCGAATGGTTACCATACACTGCTTCGCAAAGGTCCCAGGTTCGATTCCCAAGCCCGGAGAAATAATTATATGGCCTACATTTATTTCTCTCGTGAGTTTAGGTGTAATTTGTAGTTGTCTATATGTGTGTCCATGTAACCCACGACACAAAGTTTCCCTAGTGCGGGGCTATGTTGAGTGTGTGCGTTATTATTGTTATAGTTACAGTTTTCCCCAAAAATCTTCGAATATCCAAGCTGAACTAATAATTTAAAAAATAGTTGACGTAACTCAATCGAGACGTTGGTGAGAGCAGTCACAGAGGAGGAGTGGCTATTAAAATGGACTTCTTGGATAATATTTCACACTTGCTTATCTTTGCATTTGTGAGAGATATATATGAATCTTTTTTTTTACTATCGTATAAATGTTTAGCTAATTAACTAAAAGTAAACAAACTTCTACTGTCACTTGCAAAGAAAACAAACTTAGTTGATAATGGCGTAGAGTTAACCGGTCAAATACTATATTAAGTAGTGAGTTTCATACGTTATATTACTGTCCTACTATTTAATTTGGTCGCATGTTATTAGCTGTCAATCTTTTTAAAGGCTTCGAACTCCTGGGTTTTTACGTTGTTTATTGTTATTGGAAAGTTATACTTTATTGAAATATTTATTATTATCTAAGCCGTTTAGATTTATGCATTTAGTAGTATTTTAAATAGCTAGTTCGAAATGTTGTCTGTTAGCTGAAAATATTATCATATAACCATTTTAAAAAGGTGTATTATAATTTTACAATAAGTAACTAAGTAATGCCTCATAAAATACCTTATTACGCTTTGTTTACATTTAGTGAATTACCTAAAACTTTATAAAATAGTGGTCGGGTATTTTGTTGGTGCAGAATCTGTCGGGGTAGATACCACCAATTCTTTCCGCAAAGCTGGATTAAATTCCGTATGATGTTAATAGAAAAAACATCCACATTGTTCATGCTCAGTTAATTTGTGAATCGCGAGGCTTGAAACACAAGAAAAACTGCGGCATATAATGCGCACTGATCACATCCACAGAGGGTTGAAACTGAGATAAGCTAACTCACGTATGTTTTGTTGAGTTGTCCGATATTTGAATGCATCATAATCACGGACCATCTGACGAACTACGGGTAGTATTAATGGTACACTGACATTAAATTTCAATACTCAGTTTTTGAAACAATTGTGTTAACATCGTCCAGTATCTGAATTTAAATCAAATAAAGGAACACATTTAATATCAGCAGTTTGTTGAAATTTTTAAAAAAGAAGAACTTCAAAACGGAATACATTTATCATGACACTGATGTTCATAGCAATTTCGCAAGATATTTTGCTACCATCTTTAGCAGATTTATCAAGTTCTTGTGCTTTCGCGATTGCTACTAAGAAAATAATTTAACAAATTAGGGAGTCACCAAACTTATTAACGCGGAATCGTATTGATGCGATCGTGTTTAACCACACTCGTCGCATTAAGCCAATTCGCCGTTGATGCGACCATTAGCATGCCGTCGCGCCAGTTGTTTCTTCTAAATCCGGATCAGCCATCGTCGGAATGAGCACGGACGCGATCGGAAATTCGCACGAAGCAGATTTGTTGCCGACCTGTGTCGAGCCGCGTCCGTACGAACCGATGCGGAACATACGTCCTTTTCGTGACTCCTTTACACAGCTGACTATCAGCTCAGGCTGCTTTTATTACGTCCTATGGTCAGCCATAGGACCTGCAAAAAGCCCGAAACATTAGTTTGTTGGAAAAAAGTATACTCGATTTTAAATACCAAAAAAATAGTTTTATTCCAGTCACTAGCTGATTTGTTATATAACAGGCTAGTAGTTTACTCAAAAAATTTAACTTTGACGAGACTTTAGTAATTTACCTACTGGTAGATGATCAGTGTATATTCTCGAGCAGACCAAAAGATGAGGGTAGCTCTAGCTGTCATCGGCATCGCTGCGAATGAATCGCGGAAAATGTTTCATGTTCTGTTGGGGATTAACGTAACGTTCTATATAAGTAAAACAAAAATGAAAATATTTTCCATCTAAACAATGTTGCTGAAATTTAAAAAATGAACTGCGTGAAAATATACTAAGCTTCTACTTTTGATGCTTCTAATTTTATGATCCATTTCTAAAGAAATTTTGGCAATATCGGTGGCGCAGCAGCCACCGGTATGACCGATTTGGGAAGTAAGCTTTTCTAAATTGGTTCTGGTCTGGTTTTTCTTGATAAATGCTTCGGAGTGAATTCCGTAATAGCTCTAGTAGGTAGGTACTCGTAATACAGGGAATACCATAGTTTGAGAACAGGTAATTGAGTGTGGTTGTTTGGTGTATTATTCAGATTTGATAATACACCAAATGATTCCAATTGTCAGAGCCCTTTTCACACAAGAATCGATCCACTTGTATAAAGACATATGTAAATTTAGTTATCAAATATAAACCATCTAAACAACGATATGCACAACAAAGGGAAAACGTAAATATGTGCGGATTCATATCGTCTGAACTGGAGAGAGATCCTAAGTGCACAAATAACATGAATGTTATAGACTGCGCTGCCCACATTTGTATCTCTGAAGAATAGAATCAACAATTCCACCTTTGGAAAAAGAACACATTCTATTTTTTAAAACGATACGTTGAAGTCAATATCGATGTAATTTTTAAATAGAACTTATTGGTTTAAGTACGCAGTAAATAAAACAACGTTATTTATGGGGTATGGATTCGATTTAACGTATACCTTGTCTATTTAATTTATGGCCTCATATGAAGGTTGTCAGAAGGTTGTCAATATTACAAATTCATTAAAAAACTGTTATTCAATGTCGTATTGTTTGAAACAAGTGAAAAAGAAAGTGCACTACGTTATTTTCATACATATCTGAAATTAAAAAGATTACCCATTTGTAATGCTTTTAAATTGTACCAACCCTTCATCCCGTGGACGTGAATGTAATTAAGGATATTCACACTTTTTTGTTGTAACATTCATTGTGTTGTGTGATGGCGGATATTGGAAATCTATATCATGCCAACGAACATCATGTATAAAAACCACGAAATTGACTTTCATATCAAACATTTTAATCTTCTTTTGTTGCCATTGTCCGAAGGCAATTAACATTGTGTGATATGCCTATCACAATTTCAGGGTATTAACTAAATGGATTTTTTAAACTGTCTTTCTCCATCAGGTATATAAGCAATATTTTCTAAATAAAATTCCATTGTATATTCAGTCTTTGTACAATCCAGCCATGCTGTCACAAATCAGAGAACGTATTTATATTCTTCACCGAAGAATCAAATACACTTGTGGAAATCTGACAGTCCACGGACCAAGTTTCCTTGTGCGAGAAGACGTTCATATTATTTACAGGTTGATTTACTTTATTATTTACGTACAAGTATGGATCCTAGCTGTAGCTACTATCTTGAGATACTATACCCATTACCAACAGAATACCATACGTTTCACATCTCATATGGATTATCTCGACTGGAATACAACATTCCCTTCTATAACTGTATGTGAAATAGCTAACACAGATAAAATAAATGCGCTAACCGCAGCCGAAGATGGACACAAGTTGGACAGATTCATTTCAGACGTCGCTTTCTTCAGCGGAACATGTTACAGTTGTATATCTTCTTGTGAAGAATCTGAAAGTTGTTTAAAAGACTTTGAGGTAATAAGCTCGTATTACCGCACGGTATGCCAAGATTTATTCGTAAACTGCAAATGGAACGATGAGCCAATTAACTGCTGCAAACATTTCAAACCCATTCAAACGGAATACGGATTATGCTTTTCAATAAATAACAAACATACACAAGGTAAACAATATCTACGTTTCGCTTCTACAAGGAAACGGCAAATGGGAGCGCTAGAAATTGTTGCGTCACAAGATTATGAGGCTTTCCTCCATTCTTCTGAAGATGTTCCTTTTTGGAATATGGAATACGATCGTAGAATCACAGTCATATATGGGTCAGAAGCTTCAATGATATTTTCCATAATGGACGTTGTGAATGAACCAGAAGTCTCATTAATAGCCCCAGAGGTTCGTAATTGTCGCTTCCCTCACGAGGTCCCAGACAATTTTATTGCTTACAATCACTACAGCTATTCGGTTTGCATTATTCAATGCCGCATCGAGGCCCAGCTTGACATGTGTAATTGCGTACATCACATGTCACCAAGCACGTATAAAAATCGTTTTTGTGACCTGGAGGGATTGAAATGTTTAACTCGTAATTATAAATCTCTGAGAAAACTGAAAGTGCCAGCCGTGAACGAAACCGGTTTAGAGTGTGATTGTTCACCGTCGTGCACTGAACCAGATTACAATGTTGTTTCTAAGAAACTTAAAGAACCAAATAAAGATCTTCAAGCAGGCGCTGCAGTTTTCATGTTAGGAAACAGGCCTTACCAAAGAATGACCAGACAAGTGGCCCGTACGACCTTAGATCTCGTTGTAGCAATGGGAAACGTTTTCGGTCTTTGTTTCGGTGGTTCGTTGCTCTCCATCGCAGAAGTGTTGTACTATCTGTGTTTTAGAAAATGGAAATATACTGCGGAAAAATAATTCACAACAACAAGCTAAAATTCAACTGAGATATAATTTTATTGATAGTACACAAGTACTACTAGGCAGATTGCTAAACATATGCACTAATTTTCAGCACAGTATTATAGATATAGCAGTTTTATAGTAGTTAAAGAATGAATTTACGTCAACGACACACTAGTTTGAATGCAATGGAACGAGCACGAATTGAATTCACCAAATTGAAAGCGACCCTATCACGTCCCGAAACAGTTAGTTAAGCTCGTTTGGTCGGCTCACGTGTCAGACACATAAGCAGTTTCTTAAACTAGGAACGCATTGGTATACTTAGTGAGGTTTGCTGTTTAAATGCTTAATTTTTGCTTCTGTTTTGCTACGATTACTCTAACTTTTACACGATTTTTACTTCTAAAAGAAACGTGTTTTTTAAATAACAATTTTTAAATTATTAATGCAACCTTTTGAACTGTGGAACAGCGTTTTCGGAAATATAGCACTTGTTTTAATTTCTTTGTGTTTTATTATTGTCCTTATAAAGAGTTTAACTAGGCTACTTCAAAATGAACTGGAAATGTGGCTGCATGTTTTTTCTAATCTCGCCCTTATTTTTTTTTAAAGAACAAAAATGTATATATTTATAATGTGCGTGAAAGTAATTAATACATTTGAATACTCATCCTTATTGCGGAAGTACCTAATTAAATCGTGAATTTTCTTTAAATTTACAAAACAAAACAGTTTTGTTGACTGCTTACGTTCTGGAAGCAAATTTCTATTTATTTAACTTTTTTTACTTCCCAGATCTTTTTAAGTGTCATCGAAGATTTTCTTTACTTAAAGATAATCGGAAATGTACTTATCCCCTTTAATTAAAATCAATCTGATTTAATTAAAATCTATCTGTCCTATTTGGAAACACATCTATATTCAATTTCAATCCTTCGCACGTTGAAGGGATTACAATAATTGTACCAGATCCAATTGTACGTGATGCTTTACCTAGTTCCGGTAATCTGATAAAATGGACATTATGATCAATATTGTCTCGTAATTCAGTTTTCTAAAATTAAACTTTCCATAATTATGACGCAAACTTATCTAATAGATATGTGGCGTTAACATTTCAGCAGAGATGTAATACAGACTATAGTCTTTCGCTGAAAGTTATGTATGTCTTATTTGGTGTTATATGTAAATACTAAAGATACGATATGAGACTTTTTGTGAGAGAATATTAATACCTTTATTACTAAACAAAATGAGAAAATACATAAGTTTACTATTCTATCTTTGAAGTTGACTGTACTTATCTAATTACGACTGGTTTTCGAGCACATATACCCCGAGTATCTTCAAGAAGCGAATGAATAGGCATCTTCTAGACTAGCTGGTCACATCAGTGATCCTACCTTTGTTCCAGGGCAGTGGCCAAGACCAAGTCCATTTACTTAAAAAAAATACATTAAGATTTTAACATAATTTTGTACAGTCCGTAGAATACCAGTAACACAGGAATTTTTCCGTCTGTCTTAGAAATCAATCTCTTACCTTGGTAAGAGAACCTTCTTGAAGATTCAATATTAAACTCACCAGTAAGTTAGCATTTTATTACACAACTAACCTTGTATGTTGAAAGAAAATATTGGATTAGCCAAAAAGTCCATGTGGAATCAAATATAAAATGAAAAAAATATATCACACTTTAATCCATTGTGTGTTGACCATGTCGATCTTCAATCTTTAGCCATCTTTTTAAAATTCACCTTCCATAAAACTTCCTATCTTTATTCATAAAATACAGCTCGTCGTTTGATGGTACATTCGTTATCAAAGTCGTATCCATTCAAATAATTTTGTACAGAACGAAAGAAATAAAAATCTAAAGGGACTATGTTGGGCTACGTTGGATATGGTAACACATTCCAACCTAACTTGCAAAATTTTTGATGGCTTTGTAAAGATGTATAGGGTTGGCATTATAATTAAATGCGACACTCGTTTTACAGTTCGTTTTAGATAGGCAAAACCAAAACGCAGTAAAGATCACATTTAGTACCGAATGTGACATTTACTACGTTTCTGTTGTTAAGGGTATGGGTGCTAGTGAACCTACAGGACATCTACAGTCATCTTTGGGGGAAGTCTATGTTTAACAGTGAATGGTGATGATAATGATTGTAAATGAAGAGACCAAGAAACAATGGTCAAAGTCATTTAAACACGTTTTGGGTTAATACCGTCATCAAATTCGGTAAACACTGAGTGTATTTTACCTAAATGGAAAAAAGGTTAATAAGGTTGAATGGCGTGAAATTTCGATTTTACACTTGTTTTTATAAAAATGTAAGTGCGCATTTGACCTTCATCTTTCCTAAGGGATAGTGATGATGAGGTTGACGATGGAGCATGCTAAATAATACCTATTCACTCTCGGCTTGAAAAGGTCCAACTTGTAACGTTCAGGGAACAAGTCTGCAGGCAGGGAATTTCACTTCATATGCGTTCTCCATACAAATGTGGAAGCGTATCGCTTCGTGCGAATCTTTGGAATATCCACAACATGGGCGTGGAACCCAAGCCTACGTCTAGTCCCACGGTGATGGAAAGGGGATGTTCAAGGCTCTGCAGCTTCGCCTTTATTAATTCCGAGTCACCTATAAGTCTTTTGGCACGCTTGTCAGTTAAATCAACGGTGGCCAGTTGGTATGTAGTAGAGCCATCCCAAAGATGGTAGCAGTTTTAGTCATAAAAATGATTGCGACTTAATGGTAGAAAAGTTAAAAATTATTTTATACATATTTTCAGTTGAAATGGATTACATAGCGTTACATTATGTCTGCATTAACTTTATTTCAGGTAGTATGTGCCTTTTTCACCAATATTTAAAAGCTCTCCAAATTAAAAATTATTTTTTACCAAAACTCTCCTCAAGTGACTTCGATCATTCTTTCCTTGGACTCTTCAAATGATAATTGTGTACAATCTATTTACAAAGAGCTACCTCTAAATTTTCTTATTTCATCATCTTTGTATTATTAGCACTTCCAGCTCCGCGTGATAGAGTTCGTCGAAAGACGTACTGCCATCACATCTCTTTTTGCTGCCGGGCAGTAATGTGAGTATTACTGCGTTTCGGTTTTGAGGAGTAAGGGTGCTGGCGAGATTACAGTCACATGGGACTTATCAACTTTAAATCTCGGAGTGACGGCCAAAACGTCAAAGGGTATAATTAGTAGTTCCAGGTCTTTCACAAATATACCAACTTCGAGTATGTACAGACATGGGAGGGGCAATACTCTTAGCGTTTTGAAGTGCGGACGACATGAGACATACGGCGCTACATTGCAGATGGCCCGTATTCATCGCTTTTATTCGCTTCAGCGATAAGGACCAGTACTATTAATAAGTAGTTGCTTGGTTATCGGTACTCTACAGGACATATCATGGAGGGTGTGTCAGGAAATTACACGATTTAATCCCGTCTTCTCCTTTCCATCACCAGGACGTATGCTGGGGTTCCAACCCTATGTTGTGGATATTCCAAGGATACCACATTTATATAATGCACGGTTGTAGAGTGGAATTCCCTGCCTGCAGACTTGTTCCCTGAACGGCATAACTTGCGCCTTTTCTAGGCGAGACTGAATAGGCATTATTTAGGTGTGCCTGCTCCATCGTCGACTTCATCTACATTTTCCGTCAGGTGAGATGGAGATAAAATGCACACTTTTGTCAAAAAAAGCCGTAATGGAGTTGCAAGTAGAGGTGGCAAATTTTTACCTTGAGTAGTGAAGTGAACGTCAAAGTTTAGCGCGAACCTAAAGTAGGTTGCCGCGGGAGCAGAATCATACCTAGATATATGTTTTGCGAAACCATACAAGGAAAGAATCTACTTCTTCACAAATATCAATTTCAGGGGCCATTAGTTATTATCTTTCTTTAATGTAAGGACATTTTGAACCACTTTAAAATGTTCATTATCATAGATTGAGCAATGACTGAGCAACATGTTTACGATCTTCGATATTAATTACGCTGGATCACGCATAAAGTATGTACAAACTGTCACTTTTTGATATTACGAAATATAACGTAAGCTACCATTAAACAAGATATTTATATGGCAGAATTATGACAAATTGGTAAATATTAGTATAATCGATGAAACTTCTACCTCCAAACCTGTCCTTACGACAAGTCCTTATCTCTTTCTGTCACCAAGTAGTAATGTGACCATTAACACCACTTAGGTTTTGAAGGGTAAGAGTGCTGATGAAATTACAGGCACATTGTACTTTTCAATGTCCTAGGGTGACGGGCGCAATGGAAGTGCTCTTCAGATCTTCGCAGAGCGGCAATGCACTTGTAACGGACAGGCGTGTCCCTTCCGTCACTTGGTAACATTAAAAAAGTGTGGTTTGATATTAAGCCTGAACATGTTTCTTCACTTCAGAATATGAAACTCAGAGAATTTCGTGTCAGAAATACCTTTAAAGAATTTGACATTTCAAATTGAACTTCAGAGTGGTTTTCAAGTTACATGTGCTGGTGGCATGCGAGTACGATATCTCTCCACATACGCTGCACCTACATGAGCTCATAAATGTTATTTTCACGAAAGTACAAAATTTCGTTTTTTATGATATCTTAATATAAAACATGCGTATTTTGTCGTATTTTGTGGATATTTAACCACGCGCCCCGCGACTTATTCTGTACTTACTTATATACTTACTTACTCCGCTGGCTCAGTGACCCAAAATGTGTCTTGGTCTCCGACTCGAGATGATGTCGTACTAAGTGCCTTAATGTTATGCTAAGTATCATCATTCATTCTTGACAATATGGTTGTTTCCCTTGCGAGTTTCGCCACCATCGACCTCATTTCTCCACAATAATGATTAACTGTCATCAGTGTACCTGATATAAGGAAGCATGGTTAACTTCGCGGCTGACCCAACAAACAGTTAGCTGAATAAATTAATGCTTTATTATTATTATGGATACAAAAATCGAAC